AGTTTCTTTTAAGTTCTCTTTCGAATTGTATTAATCTGTTTCAATATTTCTCACATATCCTACTCTGGTCTGATGCGCAAAGGTTGGCCCTTTTCAGATTCGCATAGTCATTTGTGTGTGAGATTTTTCTTTCTTTTTTTTTCTTTTTCATTTTACTTCAAGAATTAGGTTTTGGGGGTATTCAAAGGTTAACAGACCATCTTTTGGTTCAAGAATTTTGTGGGTTTTTCTTTGAAGCATTGAAAAGGCCTCTGGGCCAAATTCTGTTCCCAAGTTTAAGTTTTTTATGTGGATTTTTTTTATTTTTTTAACTTTTCTTTAAGTTGTTGTGCTGCTCGGAGAGTTAGTTCATGTAACTTGGTGTCTTTGTTGAGCTCAGAGTTATCAAGTTTTGTTGTATGTGTACAGTTTGTTGCTCTATTATGTGATTATTGGCCATTTGTCGATAGCATATACGGGATCCTTACAATGTTCCTTTCCTGTAAGGAGCATCTTGTGCGGATGTGGTACATTGTTTTGTTCTTGAATGTGATATGCTTATTTTTTGTCTTCCAACATCAAGAGAAATATCATGACTAATGATTTACTGCTGTGCAACTACTTTGTTTGATATGAAATTTTTATAAAATGTAAATGCATGTCAACGTTTATTAATGTTTATGAAGTGACCCGGTAAAAAAAAAAAAATAAGGTGAAGAATTGTGTTCAACGCTTATGGTTCCCATTACTTAGTTTAGGGTTAGTGTAAATGTCTTTTCTTAATCCAACATTTGTAGATGGCTACCGTTGCGGATGAATTAGCTGTTGTTGCTGTATTGGAGGAGGTTATGAGTAGTGTTCAAGTTTTTTTGCTACTAGCTATTTATTACTATATAAAATTCATCCGCCCTTGCCGAAAACGTCAACGTTCTCTTACCAACCACGTTCCCTCATTTCGATTTAGCGATAGACTCCCCCATCAGGTGAATTACATGCGAAGGCTAATTGACGTGAGTGACACAACCTGTCTCGAGAACCTCCGTATGGATCGTAACTGCTTCGGCCGTCTAACTTACCTTCTTCAAAGTTTTGGGGGACTTCGACCATCTAGAAATGTTGCAGCAGTGAGCAAGTTGCAATTTTTCTGTCAGTCCTAGCTCACCATAAGAAAAATGTTACTTTGAAGCTTGATTTTGTTAGATCCGGTAGAACAATAAGCAAATACTTTAACCGTGTTCTTGATGCTGTCATCCGAATTTACCGCATCCTAGTTGTCAAACCAAAGGCAGTTGAAGCCAATTGTGTTGATGAAAGGTGGAAATGGTTCAAGGTAACCTAACACACATTTCTCAACGTCATACTAATTTGTTAGTTCAATTATTTCGAACTAATAACTATGGGGTATTTGTTTTTCGTTAGGGATGTCTAGGAGCACTCGATGGAACGTACATTGATGTGCGAGTCCCTTCGACTGAGAAGGCACGATATAGAAACCGTAAGGGTAGTGTATCTGTTAATGTACTTGGAGTTTGTGATAGAAATATGAACTACATGTACATGCTTTGTGGTTGGGAGGGGTCAGCTGCGGATAGTCGAGTCCTGCGCGATGCGGTTACTAGGACGCATGGTCTACGTGTTCCAACCGGTATTATCTCATATATAATTATTATTTAAACAAATAACATCCAATCCATTATCAAATAAAAAAAAACACAGGTAGTGAGATACCACCTACAGGAGTGGGGTACCGGGTCACGCCGACCACAAAACTTTAGAGAACTGTACAACCTTCGCCATGCCAAGGCTAGAAACGTGATTGAGCGTGCGTTTGGCATTTTGAAAATGCGATGGGCAATTCTAAGGAGTTGCTCATATTATTCCATTCGAACCCAAAATCGCATTATCATGGCATGCGCGCTCCTTCACAATTTCATACGTACAACAATGGTCATTGATCCCATTGAAGCACAAGTTCCTGAGATACCGGTTGATGGTTTGTCCACAACTCCGTGTGAAGAAGACTTGATAGACCAGGTTGAGGCGAGCCCAGAATGGACCCAATTCCGTGACCGATTGGCACAGGATATGTTTAATGAATGGGAGCATAATGTGACCTAGTTCAAAAAACATTTGCTTCAGTTTCAGTTTACGTTTAGGGATGAACTGTCTACTTATGTTGGACCATTTCTTCTATGTTTGCGTTGTTTGTTTTATTGTTGAGGATTTATATGCTATTTAATGGGTTATCCATCATATATGACAATGGAATCTTACTTGAATAGTTTAGCATGTGTATTACATATTTCTATCTTAATACTTTACAATCAAATCGATATTTCAGTAGCCAAGAACCACCATGGAGTATTCATGTACCCAGGATAACACAACAAGACCTTCCTCTTCCCAAGCAAAGACACGCCGTGTTTGGACCTGGGCTGAGGAGGGTGCCCTAATAGATGCCCTAAAAGACATGGTTACCGAGGGTTGGAGGGCAGATAATGGGTTTAGGCAGGGCTACAATTTCGAGATTGAGAGAAGATTGAAGGCGAAGTTTCCAGGCTGTGACATTCGTGCAGATCCTCACAAAGCTCCAAAATACATGTTTGGAGGAAGACCTATGTGAGTGTGGCACTCATCAAATCTAATTCAGGCTTCGGGTGGAGTGAGATAACAAAATCTTTTTCGTGCGACGATAAAGTTTGGACAGCTTGGTTAAAGGTAAGAGTCAAGTATAGCATCTCCTGGATGAATATAGATCTTCTTAACTTTTGTTCCCATTCCATGAATTCGCATAATATAGGTAGATCCACATGCCAAATCATTGAGGAACAAGTCTTTCCCGTACATCAACGAATGGGCGGAAATCTTCGGGAAAGACAGAGCAACCGGTGAGAATGCACAAGGCTTTGAAGACGCAGCGAACGATGTCCCACAACAGGACAAGCAGAACATGCCGGACTCCGAAAATGAAGAGGTGCCATCATACCAGAACCAAAATGATGGAAACCCCGGCCTTGCCATGGGTGACACGTCTGGTACGGCGTCTGAGTCTGTTGGTGGCGGGGGGGGGGGGGAGAAGATGGTAGTTACCATGCGCTTATGCAAGAATCCACAAGAGCTTTCCATGTTCTTTAGCCTGACTTCGGACATGAAAGCTGTGATGGTGAAAATGATGCGCGAAGGACGGTTGTAGAGTACTCATAATGGTGGACTTCGTTTGTGTTGGTTTCAAGTATTTAAAACAATTTCTTTTGATCTGGCTTCCTAAATATGAAGTTGATGTATCTGGTTTCTTTTGTCTTGTGAAGGCTTCTATTAGTAGTTGTTGTGTTTGTTTTCATTTGGGTTGTTAGGAGTAATTGATGTGTTTGTTTTAATTTGGGATTTAACACTTATTACTAATTGATGTGTTTGTTTTCATTTGGGCCCATTAGGCTTCTGTTGCTTGTTTTCATTTGGGATGAAAAGTTAGTAGTTGATGTGTTTACCCAGGACTCATGTATCATTGCGAATGACATGTGTTGTGGTGGCATATGCGAAATTGATGATTTTTTTTTCTGTGTATTCTTCTGAACACTGATTTAGGATGGACAACATGGATATTGACGCTAATGGTCCTCATTTTTTCAAGTCGGTTACATTTACTACGCTCCCTACGATGGTATGTTAGTCTTTTTTTTAATTTATTTAATTTCGGTTTTTTAATTTTGTGTGTTGATTTATTACTTCAACCTACATTGTCTTTACGAAACACATACTACATTGTAGCCATTTCCCAGGGCAACACACCAACATTACCGTGGTGTGGAGCTACCACATACATGCCGAATCCAGACCATAGAGGGTCGTTCGTACGAGACGACATTGAAAATGGTGAACAATTGCCCTACATTGGTGGACGGATGGAGAAACTTCATTCTTGAAGAGGACATAACCTTATGCTACTTTTTGGTTTTCCGTCCAAGGTCCATTTTCGACTTTGAGGTGTGGTTGCTACAGCCGAATGGGTGTGAGAGGCAACCCCAGTACACGTTCACCATCGAAATAAAACCAACTCATGTGGAGCGTGCACGTTTGGTATGTTGTTTAATTTTATGTAATTGTACAGTATACTTCAAATTGCAATTTTTTTAAGATTGTGTTTAACTTGTTATATTTTATATTTTAGGCTATCCCAATGCAGTTTTGGAGGGATTACATCGAAGGCATGTATTCGAACTACAACTCCGCTATTCTGAAGTTTGGTGACTATTCGTATGACGTGGAAATAGTCCATGGCCACGGGAAAAAACTCATACAAAATGGACGCGCACGACAATTCATCGATGACAACAACATCGTTGTGGGTGATGTTTGCACGTTCTTTCTCCTCCCAAGTGATGAAGGCATAAAATTCAAAGTTAAACCGTAGTTGATGTTTTGGCAGGTTGTGGTTCATGTTGTTGTGGCAGGTTGTGGTTCATGTTCATTTGTCGGGGAAGATGTTTTGAACTTGTGTGGGTGATCTTGCAAACTTTTTTTTCGATTTGTTTATCTTTCGAGGATGTTGTTGGAAACTTGGGTTTGGATTTGTTTAACTAGGATGATGTTAGAAACTTCGTTTCCGTTATCGTTATTTTGGTTTTTTTGACATTGTTCGTACTTCAGAATATGCTTTATAAATGCATGTTAGTTTTTATTTGTTATTTTATCTTAGAAATTGTGTTATAATTCGATTCAACCAAAACACCCTTTTAATAACAGAATGTACAACTGATCGATACAATAAAACAAACTTAAAAATTGGGATACACCATAACATTATCCAAAATATATGGAATGTACAACGTAATATTCATAATTTCAATTCGAAGTTCTCAACAACCAAACATTAGTTAACTCCATTACAAATTATAATTAACATGATCATCCAACAACAACAAAATCGTCCAAACACAATGTAGCAAATTAACATGATGTTTTAAAAATTGAACATTCGAAATACGAGCCCTACATAGGGGATGTGACTGAAGCAAGTTATTTTACTCAAGTGGATGCTTTCCTTTCAGGCTATCGACATCAACCTGAACAGGCATAACGCCATTCCCAGCGCTACTTTGCACAGCCGGATGGACTGTTTCCTCGTTGAACTCTCCAAACATTTGCTGCAACTCTACCCATAAGGGGTCTCCAAGAGTTTTATAGGCCACACTGATAGGGTCGACCTGCCAAATAAATAATGTCAGTAATAAATTTTCAACATGAATAAGACCAATTGCACACCATTATTTTATCGACATACATACCCTAAATACCGTATTCCATGCTTCTACTGGTCCCCACATCATACCACTCTCATAACAATATTTGATTCCATGCTTTTTAATCATGTCCCGCATCACCCTATGCCTTATCTTAAATTGCTCATACTTGTCTTGACAGTCCGATGGAGTAAAACATTTTCCAAAGTCAGTAGTTAACCTCTCCGCCCATAAGGTATACAGCGAGTACGCATCCTTTCTATTGCCTTCTAGTAACAACGGCAAATGAGGAGACACTAATACCAAGAACCGTGCAAAGGACTTCTGAACCTCATATGTCCATTTATTATTAAACAAATATTCAATTTGCTCGGCCGGGAACTCTGATTCCATACCTGTGTGTTTGCAGAGGTAAGTTCAAAATATATTAAAATTTTACTTTTTGTATACAAGAGGTAAGTTGCAGAGGTAAGTTCAAAATATATTAAAATTCTACTTTTGTATACAAGAGGTAAGTTCAAAACATATTCTGATAGTACACAAATATATTCTGATTCCCTTTTTTTATGCCCATACCAGTCATTCATATGTCAAGGAAAAAAAGAATATATTCCCTCCTACACTAGCTGCGACGGATAGCCTCCTGTGATGAAACAAGCAGATATCAGTCTATCAAACAAGTGCTCATGAGATACGTTTGAATGTACTCCTCGGTTAAATGCATGTTAAACTGAAAAAACAATGTTAAACTATATGACATGACCAATATATTGGCATTGGATTCTTCCTCTGATTTGTACCTGGGAATATATTCCCCCCTGACAAAAGCAAAAGATGGACAAGTCTTTCAACATAAAAAGGTGAGGAAAACTGATAAAAAATGCACGGTTATTCATGAAGCATGGATTGCATGCACTCACCACTTATATATTTGCATGCATTATCAAGAATTTAGAAATAGAAGCAACAAAGCAACATAAAATTGTTCATTACAGAACTCTATTTTCCTAAACTCGGTAGCTGTCCATCAATGGCTCCAAAAAAAATTTTTGAAGCTGCCGTTGCACAAAGCAGGGTTTTTTATTCTGGGGAATGGACTAGGGAAATTGAAGGAGTTTTCGTGGATGAGTTGGTTGACCAAGCAAAAGCGGGACATTTCAAGGCTGGGCGTCCAAACCATCACGCATTACTATGTGCACAAGGACTCGTGAACGCACAATTTGGTAAGAGCTTCGATTTAGAATATTGCAAAGGAAAACTACAAAAACTACGTAGACGCTATGAAGTTTTCACCTGGATAACACAACAAAGCGGGGTTGTGTTCACATATGGAACCAATAAGATTGAGGCCAGCGAAAAAACTTGGGAGTATCTTATTCGAGTAAGTTATTTTAAATTGTTTAGGTAAACATAGGTTGTTCATACCTTATATTATGTAAAAAAGAATGCAACTAAGATGAAAGTCTCATAAACAAAGGTAATGCAGTTTCTAATTAAAAAATACAACATAAAATAAAGGATGTTGACAAATGCATTTTATAACTATGGTAAAGAATGGAAAGACGCTCAGGAGTACGAGAGTACATATTGCAATGACATTACTTTAACCTGAAACGAAGGGAAATATAACATGAGATGATAGAAAGTAGATTTGAAGTCAAAAATAAATAAATATAGATTCAAAATGCTCCTAAATGTTCATCTTTTACCCTCTGTACCAGATTCTAATCCTACAGTATTGATAATATTGTTTCGCTGAATATTGTAGAAACAAAAGCTGGCCATGGCTTACATGAAGGAGGGCGAGTCCGCTCTCGAAGGGCTGGATTATTTGTTTGGAAATGCTAACATGAACGTCCGTCGACAGCCTAAACAAGTGATAAATATTTCTGACGAAGAAGATGAACGAGACAATGACGATGAAGAAGAAGACGGTAATCCCTATATGCCTATTGAAAACGAGTCGGACAATACAAATAATTGTTTTCAATACGAACTTGCATGGTACAATACTGACTCCACAAGTGTTCCGTCTGTCGCGGACCCGGAAAAACCACCCACCAACCTGGCTTCCATTTCTGATGTTATGAAGAAGTTTGACAACCACTGGGCATCCCACGATTGGGACAAGAACGAAGACACCATTTATGATATTCCAAACAGTTCTACTGCATCTTCGTCGTCTCCTTACAAAAAATAGTAGACAACAATGAAAACAAAAATGGCTCCGTCTTTAGGCTTCTTTCATGCAGCGTTTTAATTTTATGTATCGTGTAGGACAAATAAGCTACCATGGCCAACGGTTCACGCCTTTCTAGAATTCGAAGGATGGTAGGAGTTTTAAATTTCATGTATCATGTATGACTAATAATCTACCATGGCCAACGGTTCACGACATGTCGGAATTCGAAGGATGGTAGGAGTTCAGTTGAGTTCAACAATGTATGAGCTTTATTGTTGTTTATGGGATAGGACTATTTTCGTCTTTTTTTCATCTTAGGAGTGTTAAAAAACTCAGACTTTCGGAAAGTCTGCTCGCCCATTTGATTTGACAGAGACACACGAACACAACCTATTAATGCCCTTATACATTACATGATGAAATGACAGTAACCATCAATTAAATGCATAAAGTATAATGTGGAAACACTCTTATCAGCTTATTTGGTACACATACAAAAGGTCACGGCAAAGCCACTACCACAAATAAGTTGAAGAACATTATGTGTGTCATACAAATTAATCTGATACTGTCGGCCTCTTTTGGGATTGAAGTCGTTTAGGGCTCAAAGTGTGAACATTGTTTGTGCGTGAAGAAGTTTATAATCGATTTCATTCATGTATTTGCCTACTTTATCCATTAAAAATGGGGAGCAAAACTAAAATTCTAAAGATCACGCTGTTAGCAACCCTTTCTTAGTTGCAGAATAAGAACATGGCCCAAATAATCAATCCACACGGATATGCCCGTTGAAGAAAAAGATGAGAACACAAGATTCACAACTAATACAATCTGAATGAATTCAAGCACAAGTAATTCAATTGCCCAAATCTCAATCAATTCAATCACAACTAATTATGTGTCCCAAATATGGATCAATTCAAGCGGCCAAAAGGGGAACGAAAAAGAAAAGCATGTAAATGCCATAAAAAATGTACCTTTCTAACCGGCTTCCACTCAATAGCCCAAAGAGCCGCCGTCGTCCTCCTCCTCGTCAGCACGTCTAATTCCTGCCGGCGGCATCCTCCTCTATTCGATTCTCGTCGTATTCCTCGTCACAGACAAAACTGATGTCAAAGGCTCCAGAGATTGGGGCAATGTTCGAACAAAAAGAAGAACCCTAATGACGGCAGATCCCGATCGTGGTGGCGTCAAAATGAAGAAATTGGGAGGGTAAAATAGTAATGTGATTTTACACAAAGCTTTTGTATCAGTGATGGTAAATAGATGATTGAGTTTGGTTAAGATACTATCATGTTTAGTAAATATGGGATAAAATCTGATGTGGCAAAATGTGAGGATTAAATCTGCCAATCCCATCCTTCCCAGTAAACGAGGCCTTATAGTGGAAAGGAGAAGGGAAGCAGAGGGCTCGACCTATCTCAGCCATAGGATCAAAGACAGATTCAATGGTCCAGATTGAAAGTAGTATGCGAAAAAATAGGTTAAATTTGATCGTTATATTGAAGTGAAGGCGGACGGATAAGATCAATCTCAGATTAAATGGAGCACACTGCGCGAGATCCGCACCGACTGCAAAGCGTCAGGCGAATGACGTTTGGACTGGAGCGGGCACGTGGCGGCATGACGGTTGGACAAGACGGGTGCTGACGCGTGGCAACCATTTGAAATTTAAAATTTAAAAATGGAAAAGCCCGACAACAGGCCAAGTAAAGCGCGATAGTGATCTCAGAGCAAGGATGAAGCTCAAGAAAGCAAGAAGAGAACCAACATGCTTGAATCGAAATATAACCCATTTTCACTCATGGTTCGAGTCATTTTGACTCAACCAGAGTGGGGGGGACCAGATGATACGAGATAACCACACCAGGTCAAGTGGACCAGAAAAGTGAGCGAACCCAATCATCGGGTTGAACGGAGAAGGAAGACCCCATAGGCAAACGAGTCGCAGGTCGAAGAGGTCATTAATGGTACCAGCAAGTCGAATAGGGACCCCTGGATGGCTTGGTAGAAATTCGACCTAAAAGAGTACCTGGTCGACAGATCTACTAGATGGCTGCAACAACAGAGGTCGACATCGATGAAATTCCACCTCGAAGTAATTGGGGTCAGTTGCATAGTTAGATGTCTAATGAAAAAGACTAAAGGATAAGAAGGAATATTATAGAGAATAAACCCCCACGTAGATAGGGCCATGTGACATAACAAAATCGGGCAGTTATGACAGCTTAGGCAGTACGAACGAGCAGCCTGGGCAGCCCACGGGGGCTGGCTTGGGCAAAAATGAGTGAGGTATACTCTGAATTACATTACTCTCTACATACTCTTATATTGCACTTCATCTTCTACAAGTGCTAACTTAAGCTTCAAATGTTCTTCACCAGAAAACTTCTCCGGTGTAAGAGTTCTGCAGGTTCAAAAACGTTCAACCGGCGATCAAGCTCGAGATTTAGCCATTTCCAGCAGGTCAAAGGTCTTTACGGTACCATACATGTTAACTATTTTTTTTTCTTTTGATTTTTTTTTTCAAAAATGTCATTGTAAGTTATAAGAAAGATTCTAAGTAGTAGTGGCATATGATTTTTTTTTAAATGAAAACAAATTAATATATCAACACATAGTTAAAATTTTATGACCATCCCTTATGTCATTAATATTGTCCAAGAATTTGTGTTTATTTCATTTTTCTGCGGCTCAAGCGCCCTTATGATTCTGCAGACTTCTTTCCTTGCGAAATTCTACCTATAGTGTGCAGCATGAGTACTAAGACGCCCCCTTCCCAGCTCTTAGTTTGCTTTACAGGAACCATACCATTTGAGCGAGGAAGAAGAATCCCAGGCTTCCAAAAGCAGCTGCCGCTCTTGCTTTCACTCCTATTGCTTGATCGAGCAAGGAGAATTGAGAATAGAGTAAAGGGACGCCTACGGGCTTACTCGCTAAATGGCAATTGGCACATACAATACGCCCAGTGTGGTGCGTGCAAAGGCTAAAAAATTTCTGATGCATGAAACCCGTAATTTTCTTCGGTTGAACAAATAATGTATTGTCACTTTTCATCAATGAATGTGTAGTGGTATTTTTTTATTACTAGTAATCAACCTGTGCATTTGCATAAAGACAAATTCATAGAAAAAATTCATAAGAAAAACAAAAATAGTAAATCATAATTTAATTCAAGAAAAAATGTTAAGTAAGAACAGAATTCTAAATATTATTAAAAATATTTTTATATACAAAATTTATGGTACTCAAATCGTTAGAGTTCTCCATCGCCACATATTATCATCTTTAAACCCTTTCGATTCGTGACTCTAGAAAGAGCCACGTACAACTGCCATGACTAAAAACATGATTTTTTAGTACTAAGCCAACGTGTGACATAAGTTGGCATTGACTCATATTGATCGTTGTAGCATGGGAAAGCATGATAGAAAACAGAAAAAGTTTGACGATGAAACTTGAAGACGAAATTGGAAAATAGTGGACTATTAGTACAAAAATAAAAATAATATTAAACAATGATTAATGGTGAACTTATTGCCAATATAAATTTATTAAAAATTGTATTAAAAAGTTATAAAAAAATAGGAATTTTAAAGTAATTATTGTATAAAATATTTAAAATTACCGTTGGTGAGTTCGTTAACAGACATTTTTGGATCTTGTTTTCTTCATCGTCCGTTGAAAGGTCATACAGAGGAACCAAGCCGCTCCAAGAAACATTAGTATTGTCAATTAAGGAACTATTTCGAGACAAACTTTGAGGATTCGCGAATGCAAAACCTAACAATCTAAATAATAATAATAATAATAATAATAATAATAATAACAACAGTCAATTTAATAACTACACAATAATAATAATGAACAATATTCTAATCATATACTCACTTATTTTTGGTAAAAATCAAATATGGTGCTATATATAAAATAGAGTCAATTTTATTGGTTTGAATTATTGTTATTTGCCTTTTTTTTAATGTGCTTAAAATCTTTATCTTTCATTAATTTTGAAAGTAGTTAGCTGGGGTCAAAAGTATATTATAGCTATTATTAAAATTTTATTGCCCATTAAAGTAATTATGAACTTTCATTTTACTATCTTTTTATTCATTTTTAAGTTCTGAATATGTTCTGAAAACAATTATTCAGATTATTTATTTTTTGTTTTTTTTTTTTCAATACATATTATTATATTTCTAAAATATATATAATGAACATTTTTTCTGATGTAATTTGATAAAAAATTATTATTACTAAATATTATGCTAAAATCATGCATCATTAACTGATTATGTATTGTGTGTAGGATTTTTTTTCTTCAATATTAATGTTTTTTCTGATTTGATTCGATGAAATTATTGTTGAATATTGTGGTAAAATCGTGCACGCATTTACTATTTATGTATTGTGTGTCTAGAAATTATTTTTATGCTAAATTAATTGTTGACTATTACGCTAAAATCATGCATGTTTTTATTGATTATGTATTGTGTGTCTAGGATTTATTTTTGTTTTAATGTTTTTCTGATTTAATTTGATTTTGATCTGTCTAGGATTTATTTTTGTTTTAATTTCATTTCTCAAAATTGATTTTGATCAAGTAATTGCTATGGAAGAGTCGTTACAACCATTTTTTTTATGCTAATACATCCGGCCATTTTCATGAGTGGTTGTGACTTAAAATTTGAGTTCAATTTTGTAACTCCCTTAATTTGATTTATACTCATAATTTATGGCATTCAAGTTATTTTGTAACTTAAAAATGAAATTAAATGCTGAAAATTTTGGAAGGAGAATAAAATTTAATGCATAATAAAAGAAATAAATTATGCGATGCTGCAAATTGAATGTTGAAAATTTTGAGGGATAATAAAATTTAATGCATGATAATATAATTCAATGCTTTATTACGCCTCTTTATATAAATATATAGATATAGATTTACACATAATTTATATACTAGTTATTATAACGAGAATTATCCTCTCTTAAGAATCTAGAAAGATTCATTTTATATTTTGAATCCAACAATCAGTATTTAAATGCTCATTAATTGTCTAACTTTAATTGTGTATTGTTAAAAAAATAATTATATCAAGTAATAAGTATCTACTTCAAATGTAAAATTTTGTATACAATTTAATTAAACCAGAATTAAATTGTATACAAAATTTTGGTTTAATTAAATTTTAGGCTTTGCCTTGCTTTAATGTTATTAACCGTTGCAGGAAAAAAAAAATTAAAAAATAAAAATAAAAAAAATAAAATAAAATAAAACCAGAATTATATTTATAATCATTAAACAAATCAGTCAAAATCGTCAAACTCAAATTTTAGTTTTTACTCTTGTTTTGTACCATTATTTTCGCGGAGCATAATTGCAAATCGTCTGCAATTCTGTGCGGCAAGCTGTCAACATTTCCAATTTCATACTTCATTGTACATTTGTACTGACCCAAAAATGATCCGTTTTCCCTTTGACTTGTCTCCTGTTTCCCTCCCTGCAATTTGTTCCAATTCCACTCACTCAACCCTCTCATATTCGCAGAATTACCCAAACACTTGTACTGTAAAAACGCTACTGCAAGTCTGCAACCTACACTTTCGATGAATACCACTTTTCTTCTCTTTTACTCCCGCCATTGACACAGACACACACTCTCTGTGTCTCTTTCTCTAGGGCTTTCCGTCTCCTACAGTTTCACCACGCGCACAGGCGCGCACGCAGAACATGCAACGAGCACCGCCGGAAACGCCGTCCAAATTGTTCAATAAGGGTGACAAAATCGAGGTCCGGAAGCAGAACGGCGCGGTAGTATGGCTCCCCGCCACCTTCCTCCGCTCCTCCCAGAGCCAAATGCAGGTGCAGTTCGAGAACGCGAGCGATAACGGCGATCAGGCATCGCGTTTCCGCAGGGAAAACGTTGAATCCGGGAACGTCAGGCCGGCCCCGCCGCCAGAGCTCCACAGGTACTTGAAAGTTGGGGAAATGGTGGAGGGCCTCTGCAGGGAGAAGAAGGGCTGGAGGAAGGGGCATGTCGTGGAGATACTGGAGAACTCGAGGTATACGGTGTCGTTTGAGGGCGAGGGGCAAGAGGACTATGTGGCCGAAATGGAACAGTGGGAGTTGAGGGCTTTCAGGGAATGGGTCGATGGGTTCTGGGTCCCGCCTTTTCTTCTTCAAGAAGTATTGCAGGTCTGTTTTTACTCTGTAACCTCCTTTTTCTTTTTTCTTTGTGTGTGTGTGTGTGTTGCTTGTGTGTTTACGATTAATTTGTTTCAGGTTACTGTGTAATGTTTGTATTTTTTTGCTTCCCATGTTTGATATATTTTCCTGTAGGTATATAATAGGAAAGTAAAAGGAAAGAATATTTATTATTTGGCTGTTATTTCCTTTTGGTGAACTGGTGTTGATTGATTCAACGTGTAGCAGATGACTATCGTGAGTTTCTGTTCTAAAATCGTACTGAATTTAATTTCAAGACAATCTGTAACTGCAGAGAACATCATCCGAGCCCGAGACCAAACCAACAGGCTTGATAGTCAAGATAAAATGCAGCACGAAAGCGTCGAAGCCGAAATTTTCTGATGGAATGGTAGTGGAGGTCAAAAGCAATGAGGTCGGTTTTGAGGGTTCTCTCTACACAGCCGTAATTGTTAAATGCATCTCAAACGACAAATTTTTGGTCGAGCATAGGGCATTGAGAACTGCAGACAAGACCGAGCTTCTCAGAAAAGAAGTAGATGTCTCGTGCATCAGGCCCTTGCCCCCTTTCGTCCAACGGGTTTTACCCTATGAATATTTCGAGAGAGTGGAAGCATGGTATAGAGATGGCTGGTGGGCAGGCCACGTTATCCAGGTTCTCAATGCTTCTAGATATATGGTTCAGTTTACTTATACGAATGAGGACATGGTGTTCGAACATTATAAGTTGAGGCCACATCAGGAATATGTCAACGGTAGATGGTCTGCTTTGCCTAAGGTGTGTAAAGAATTCCGACCTCTTGCTTGCATTTTTTTTTTTTTTCCTGCATTTAGTTGATTTTTCCTTGTTTGAATATTTTAATCTCAGGTCAGCATAAATGATGTCAAATTGGAGACAAACAAGTGTGACCTGAAGAGAAAACGTGGTAAGAAGAGTTCGGGGCCGATTTTCGAAAACAAGATGGTGGTGGAAGTGAAAAGTGACGAGGAGGGTTATCAGGGCTCATGGTATACTGCCACAATTGTTTGCTCCTTATGCAGTGATAAGTATTTGGTTGAGTATCAGACTCTGAGAACAGAAGACGAGACTCAACTGCTAAAAGAAAATGCTCATGCTTCGTATATAAGGCCTTGCCCGCCTAAGATCATGCGATTGGATCGTTTTAAAATGCTTGAGGAAGTAGACGCGTGGTATAATGATGGATGGTGGGTTGGACTTGTTTTGAATGTTCTTGATGGTTTGAAGTACGCAGTGTATTTCTGGACCACTGATGAGGAGCTTACGTTTGATCATTCTAATCTGAGGCCTCATCAGGAATGGATTGGTGGCAAGTGGATTGTCTCTTTCAGGGTTTGACTTTTTATCAATCTTTTTTTCTTGAATTGGCTTTGAATTCAGGCATACTTGACTTACATGTACTATTGTGCTGCCTTAATTTCTTGCAGCTTGGCCATGGTCGTTTTTAGTTGTTTTAAACCCAATGTTTCTGTGAAGTTACAATTATCATTTTCTTTTATCGATATCTTACATGTGAATGCAAACAAACTTGTAAAACGAAGCAAAATATTGAGGGGTGTTTGTATTATTGAATGATTGTGGAGAATTTATGTAATGAGACCAAACTTTAAGGGTATCTTTGCAATTTGCTTCATGATATTTTCCTCCAAATGCAGAAAAATCTGAACTTTGTGACGAAGAACAAATTGGGAAAGTCTAAAGAGGACAGACAAACGGGACCAGAACAATATTTCGCGAGCGGAATGAAGGTAGAAGTGAGAAGTGACGAGCAAGGGTACATTGGCTCTTGGTATCCAGCTGCCATTATGAAGCCACTTGGAAACAGAAAGTATTTGGTCGAGTACCTGACTCTGAAGGCCAATGATGGTGAAGCCCAGCTGCACAAAGAGGAAGCAGATGCCTTTTGCTTGAGGCCACGGCCACCTGTGTTACAAAGGAAACAGCATTATAAGCCGTTTGAAGAAGTTGACGCTTGGTACAATGAAGGTTGGTGGGTTGGTCGGGTGTACCAAGCTCTGGAGGGCAGAAAGTATTCGGTTTATTTTGACACGACTAATGAGATATTGGAATTTCAGCATTCTCAGTTGAGGACTCATCAGGATTGGGTTGACGGGCAGTGGGTCATTCCGAAAAAGGTAGTGTTACATTTTTTTATTTTTTTTTTTGGATGCATGTTTCTAATTTTACACATCTTAGATAATTTTGATCATGTGTCTTTTCTTCTTGATTTCTTCTTCCTTTACTTTTTTTCTTTATTGAAATCTGAAATTTCTAAAATAACTTTAGCATTGTGAGAAAGAAAACATATATGCAATTTGTTGAGTTGATAGCAAAGTTAGGCAGTTTGGTAGGTTATTTCTGTCTTTATGTACTAGTTCAGCCATTCATTGATATGCTTATGGTTATGCCACAAAACTGATAATCTTTCCCCTTATTGCAGGGTGTGAAATCTCATTCAAAGTAAATTCTGACAAATTGGGAGTCTTTTTGCCATTTTCTTGTAGTGTTGATGTTCTTCGGTCTTTTACTGTGAAGCAAGTAATTTCCTCGACCGTTTTGGTTCCTCTCTTTTGTGGGTTGAGATTTGAGTCTTCATGCATCTTTTGTAGGCCAAAATACAGTTTAAACACAATGTTTGAACATGGAACAATATTTTGAGCCTGTGGGGAGGGATCCTTTGTCTTAAAATTGTGCTTTTCGTTTTATGTATGGGATGGCTGTTTCATACTTGAGATGATTTATGATGATGTTAATATATTGTTGCCAACATCTGATCTATAAGTTAGCATTATTTACTCGCAATTAGAGTTGTTAAACGAAATTAACGGTTCGTGAGCTCTACTCGGCTATGCTTGAGATTTGAACAGTTCGTTAAGGCCTAGAATATGAATGGTTGTATGCATTCGAGATGCCGAGTGCCATTTTAATACTTCTTGAAATCCGAGATTTTTTATGATCTTTACATTTAAGTGGAATTCTTGAAAATCTTATGTTTGGAGGTTGAATTTGGCGTGAAATTTCGATTTTTGTCTTTGAAATCTTAGTAAGTTTTAAAAAATCTGACAAATTGAAGTGATAAATAAACTGAATATGTAAGACTCTTTGGAATCTGTTACATAAGACATTTTAAAAGATACTAGTACAGTACCCGTGCAATGCACGGGGGTTTATTATCTCTGTCCCTTTTATGAAGCAATGTTCAGTTAAAATTCAAAGTACTTACTAAGAGAAAGATCATGCCATTAATAATAAATAAATTAATAAATACAATGATAATAAAATCTATATATTATTGAATACTTCCTTATATACAACGTTCATGGTTTGATTCTTTGGCACGTCATCGTCGCCACAAATTTGGACTTTCATACTCATTTCTATTTGTGACACGGCAGACAACAACATACAATTAGCCATGACTAAACACTGGTTTCTTAAGAAATAATTTCACATGGGATAATGATTGTTCCTGCCTTTTATTTATAGTCATGGCATAAGAAAACATAATGGGAAACAATCAATCCAATAACATCTACAAAAATATAAGAAAATGCATCATATTTAAATGTATAACGTATAAAATAGTTTATCACATATTTTAAATTAAAAAAAAAATCAAAATAAGAAATAAACAAAAAAATTATAACCTACCAAACAACATGACTTCATCAATGTTACGAACATCAATTAAAGTTAAAAATAGGAAAATCACCCCTCCATTTGATAATCTTGGTTTGACCATTGATAATGATCCTCCTTTTCCTATCGTCGATATATGGATGCCAATATTGCTTTCCAGTTTCCACTTGATAGTTTGTCAAGATATAAGCGCCACCTTCTTCAATATCACCGATGATTTTTTGGATATTGACATGTCAAATTATGCCAGTAATTAATCCTCCCTAAAACATTGCATAATGAATAATTCAATAAATAAATTATAAAAGATGTTGCATAAAATGATGCATTTAAATAATACTAAAAGAATATATTACCTCAAAATCATGAAAGATAATTTCAAGAACATTTCGGTAATTGCGTACGTCTTCAACTCGTTGGAACATCCTAATTATGCGTAGCTTGATTGGTGGCTTATTGGATCTTTTGATATCCTTGATTACTCCAAAATCCGAATCAATTTTCAATGGTGATGGAAAAGCTTGTAGAAAAAATTGTTTTGTGGAATATATTGGATGTCGAATACTTTTTGTTCAACGTTGGTGATGTTTATATAGTCATGTGTATGTGCCATATGTCTGGAAAATAAAAAAATATTTACGTAAGGTATTTAATATGATCTGATCCGACTTTTTTTATTATGATTATATTGACTTCTAAAAATATGTGTTATCGGTTTTGTTAAAAAAAGTAAAAAAAATGTGGAACGTGATTCACTTGTGAGGGACGAACGAATATTTAGAAGATTATGTAGCCAAAAATAATGGAGTTGTTACAATGAAAATTGGTAATTTGGATAGATTGAAAAATAATATTTTTATTTTGATATTTTCCTAGTTATTTAGACAAATCCAAAACTTTAATTTACGAAATTATAATCTTTAATTTTTTGAAACGTGTAAAATTTTCTAAGATAACTTCTATAAAACAAAATGTGATCAAATCATAATTGATTTTTATGCCTCGATATTCCAAATCCAACCTTACAAATATGGTATGATTATTTACTATTAATATTTTATTTTTAAACGTCTGATTCTCTTAGGTTTATATGAAACAAAGTTCAATCGAATCAAAATTGATTTTTATGCCCACACTAAAACTTTATCAATATGATATGTTTATTTTATTTATTTATTTATTTTCAAATCCACAACTCAAATTTTCGGGAGAGAGAAAAAAAAGGAAACAAAATCTTATCAAACCTTATCAAATTTTCGAGAGAGAAAAAAAAACAAAAAAAATTGGAAACAAAATCTTATCAAACCTTATCAGTAATGAAGATACGCGTTTCCATGAAAATCTAACAAAATCCCGTAGTTACCAAAATCCTATCAAATTAGTTAACAAAATCCCATTAAATTGGTTAACAATATTGGAACGCATTTTGTTAGGAAAAATTTACGTAATTTATCTATCTAATTAATATCATATTAATGTGTGGGCCCAGTGATATTAATTTAGTATAGCATCCATTATCTCAGAATAATTTTTTGTTTGATTTACAACATTAATTTGAATGGAAAAAAAATCCGTAATTGTTGAGATATCTCGATTCAAAATTTTAATTTTTTGGCATAAGAATCGTCAAATTTGTTACCAATAAAAATAGATTCCTATGGGATTAATATTTAAAATGAATTAAATTTGGTATAAAAATCTCCAAATTTGTTACCACAAGAATCTTCAATTTGTTACCATAAGAAACCCATAAATATCTTTTATGGATTGGAGTTTATCAATATTTAGTATAGCATCCATTAATCTCAGAATAATTTTTTGTTTGATTTACAACATGAATTTGAAGGGGTAAAAATCCGAAATTGTTAGGATATCTTAATTCAAAATCTCAATTTTTTGGCATAAGAATCTCCAATTTGTTACCATAAGAATCCCATAGAAATCTCCTGTGGGATTGGAGTTTATCAATAGTTGGTATAACATCCATTATTTTTGGAATAATTTTTTGTTTGATTTACAACATTAATTTCAATGGGAAAAAATTCCGTTGGAATATCTCAATTCAAAATCTCAATTTTTTGGCATAACAATCTTCAAATTTGTTACCAATAAAAGTAGATTCCTATGGATTAATATTTAAAATGAATTAAATTTTGGTATAGGAATCTCCAAATTTGTTACCATAAAAATTTCCAAATTTTTGGGATATCTCAATTAAATTTGTTACCATAAAAATTTCCAAATTTGTTACCATAAAAATCTCAATTTTTTTTGGTACATGTGTTTTTTCCGAAATTTCCACTAATAGTAAGTCAAACCATTTATTTTTGTAGTCAAACTTACTATAAAAGTATTTTTCCAACAACCTCTTTATATTACTATAGATAAAAAATTCAAGTTAAATACTAATGGCATGATTGGTATGAAGGAATGACATGGGAATTGAATGATCATTCCCTTACTCATTCCTTATCCCATGATTGGTATATTTTTTGGAAAGAAATGACCATTCCAATAGGAATGGCAAAATCCATCTCCATGGGATTAGCCGTTCCATAAAAAATGGAAGGTTTTCTCATTACCATGTGTAGGAATCAATTTTCAAAAAATAAAATTAACAAATAATAATAAAACTATAATATATATTATAAATCATGATTAAAATATATTAAATAAAATTCAAATAAAAAAAATTAGAAACTTACTTTTATTTATTTTTTAATTAGATATATTAAATACTTATATAAAAATAAAACTAAGAAAAGCATTATATATAATTTAAAATATATTTTTTTATTTTTATATATTACTTTTAAGAATATATTATTTTTTATATATTTTTAGAAATATATTATTTTATTTTTATATATTATTAAAAATATATTATTTTTTACATTATTAAAAAATAAATTTTTTTATTTTTATATATTATTAAAAATAATTTATATATAATTTATTAAAAGTATATTATTTTTAAAAAAAATCTTTTATTTATTTTTATAATAAAAAATGATAATTCCATTCCATTCAAGTCCTATTCCTTCTGCATACCAAACGCATAAATAATAAAACTTGTTTCATTCCATTCTCATAATCATTCCATTCTTCAATTCATTCTATTCCTACGAAATTCATTCCATTATACCAATCATCCTATAAGATTCTTAAAAAATTTTAAAAAATTAATCCAAATGAATACAAATAAGGGTTAAAATATTTATCTAAAATGAATACGCATAGGTCTCATTTACTAAAGTTGATGGGCTTGGACTATCAATCCATGTACACTGTTGGATCTTGATTTTTATCGAATCTATATATATATAAAAAAGAGCAACAAAGCATTTAATTATTACCATGCATTAAATTTCATTCTCATACATTAAATTTTATTCTCCCTCCAAAATTTTCAGCATTCAATTTCATTTTTAAGTTACAAAATAACTTGCTTGAATGCCATAAATTATGAGCATAAACCAATCAAGGGAGTTACAAAATTATACTCAAATTTTAAGTCACACTCACTCATGAAAATGGCCGGGTGTATTAGCATAAAGAAAATGGTTGTAACGGCTCTTCCATAACAATTACTTGATCAAAATCAATTTTGATAATTATTTTCTTAATTCATATTTTTTTTCATGAATTAAATTATGATTTAATTTTGTTTTTTTTTATATATTTTTATGTTTTTAAAGTATTCGTCTCTGTGCAAATGCACAAGTTGATTACTAATGTGTACGAAATAGGGTAAAATATGAAGGACCCCCTTGTATTATACGAAATCTGCGCGTTTTCCCCTTGTATTTTAAAAATTGCATCAAACCCCCTTGTATTGTAGTTTTGCATGCGCGAATTACCCGAAATCGTTGAAGTTGACAGAAGTGTGGCTCACGCGCCTGTGCTGCGACCATTTCTTCCAATTTCACTTCAGAAGTCCGCGAAAGTACCATTGTACCCCTCAACACCTCTTTAAATAGCCAGCAACCCTCAGCCCTATTTCCTCCCTCACCTTACCTCATTTTGGCGCAAAACTCCCTCATCTGCTCCAGATTTGGCGCGAAACAGGTACAGTCCTTTTTTTTTTTTGAAATTATTTTGGTATGCTTTTGTTTTTCATCTTCTCCAGATTCTTGTATGCTTATTTTTTGGTTTCATATTGCCCGCATCTTTTTTTGCAGCATTTTTTTTTCAGCAACTTTTTTCACAAATTTTTTCAGTAATTTTTTTTGCACAAAGACTTTGGTTTTTTTGCTAAGAGACTTGGATTTTGTT